CTGCCGCTTTCCCTGCCCGCCCCACCCCAGATCGGGCACAGAGCCCTTCAGCCCCTGCAGCATCGGGGGGCCTTGGCAGCCGCTTCCCGGGAAGGAGACACCGCAGGAGGGCAGCCCGGGCAGGGAAGCGGCCGGGCCGAGACCCTGTCGGCAGCAAGACCCTTCCACGCAGAGGCCTCGCCACCCCGTTCCTTGCCCAGACGTCAGGGCCTGCCCTGCAGCTGCTTCTTGTGTCCCCAGACACGGGCCGTCATGAACTTCGTGGTCCGCTACCGGCCGGACGAGCAGCCCTCTCTGCGGCCGCATCACGACTCGTCCACCTTCACCCTGAACGTCGCCCTCAACCACAAGGGCCTGGACTACGAGGTGAGCCCCGGCCCGTGCCCAGAGGCTGTGCCTGGAGCCCTGCCCGGGGCCTGGCCCTTCCACGGTGCCGGGTTATTCTGTGGGTCTCATCTCCCGGATCGCGTCTAGGTGGGCAGCCGCCCCCACCCTCCTGTGTGTCCCTTGTTAGTGGGTACCCACTTCCCTGCATCTGCCGTCTCCCTTATGTCTCTGTCCTTCCCGCCAGCCCTCCCCCTGGTCTCTGCCTGTTCCCCGGTCCCGTGTCTGCTGACTTCTGTTCCTCTCTCCTCTTCCCAGGGAGGAGGCTGCCGCTTCCTGCGCTATGACTGCGTGGTCTCATCCCCGAGGAAGGGCTGGGGGCTGCTGCACCCGGGTCGCCTCACCCACTACCACGAGGGGCTGCCCACGACCCGGGGCACTCGTTACATCATGGTGTCATTTGTTGACCCCTGACACTCAACCACTCTGCCAAACCTTCCCGGCCATTGTGCCTTCTTGGGGTGCCTGGCCCCGTCCTTGGAGAGGGGGTCTGTGCATCTCCTCTCTTTCTGAGTGCACGTCCTGTATGCCTGGGACTGAATGTGTCACCTCACCCCACCACACGGCCCTCTCAGGAAGCTCCTGGAGCCCTCCGCCCCTCCCCTCCGTCCCCAAGGGTTCAGGGAGACAGGGCTTCTCGGGGATCCCCATGTGATAAATTATTAAGGTTCCTCAGCCTCCCTCCCAATAAAGGAGGATTTCTAACTTTCGAGTCCGTATGTCATGTTTCACCTGCCTGTTAACCCCATCTCCTGCCACCGGAGTAGAAGGGACACCCTGAAAAGGGAAGACGTGAGGAGGGAGAGGCAGGATGCCACGCCTGCGTGGAAACTGGGAGCTCTCCTTGCTCCCGTTGACTGCCTGAGTGGGCTCAGACCAAAAGAAAGACTTCTGGGTCCAGGGCAGATGAAAGGCCAGCCCAGCCCAGCCTGCACAGTTCTCACTGGTCTGCCCACGTGAAAGGTGAGGCGGCACCGCTCTGAACCGGGCTCCGGGGACAGGCCTGAGGAAGTCCCCTGGAGGCGTGTGTTCTGATGAGGAAGGACAGACGGAGTCCTGCCTGTGGCCACTTGGACCTGTTTATTGGGCAGGATCAGGAAGGAAGAACACAAGGGGGGCTCATCTCCAGGAAGCTTCCTGGAAAAGGAGAGAGACCTCGTGGGAGCAGGTCTTGCCTCCAGGGAACTGGGGATCCCTTGCCCAAGACCCCCGAGGCACCCTGCAGACCGCAGATCGTGCTTTCGCTAGGTCTTCCCCCGCTGTACACTAAACTCTCTGAATTTATTCCCAATTCTTCCCTTTTGGCGGCTTTTTCTGTAGAAGCAGAGGTCTTGTTATGTTGCCCAGGCTGATCTTGAACTTCTGGCCTCGTCCTTCCACATCAGCCTCCGAAGGCACACTGGGATTCCAGGTGTGAGCCACTACGCCAGGCTCTCAGAACCCTTTAAGCCATCAAACAGGCTTGTTCACCCATCCTGGAACACTTCCTGCCTTTCTCCTGCCCAGCCTCCTGCGAAAACCTTGAGGAAGCCTTTCTTCCTGGTTATAGGGCTCATCACCAGGTGGGGTCACTTTTCCCTGTAGACTGAGCTGCTTTCCGGCCATGCTTTGAAGCCCGTCTCGCTCTGGTTCCCACTGCCCTCGTCACACACCCTGTGGATGGCAGTGGGTTGGGCAGGGACAGGAGAAAACACCTCTTGGCCGGGCGTCCTCCACAGAGGCCTAAGCTACTCCTGGGCTGGACCGCAGGCGCCAGAGTCCAGTGACGAGGGGGCTTTCAAGCTGTTCTCGCTCCTGGGGGGAGCCCTGCCTTCAGGGCTTCAGGGTAGCCCCCACTTTCCCAGACTTCTGCTAGCCCGGTCCCTCCCTGAGGCCAGGACCCTGACCTCTGCAAAGTTCAAGCACCTCCCCCCGGCTCCTGGCCACAGCCCTGGTCATCTCGGTTGGTCTTCTGGGGCACAGCCGGGTGATGAACCCTTTCCTCCCTGGCTCACACAGGTCCGGTGTGTAGGGCAGCAAGGGGGTGAGAATGGGGGCAGGACCAGGGCCGAGGGTCAGGGCCAGTGGGTGGGGCCAAAAAGGAGGGGGCTTATGAGGCCCAAGTGGCCTTGTGCAAGTGCTCTCACAGGATGGTGGCCCCCTCCAGCCTCCTCCGCAGAGGTCTCCAAACGTTCGCTGTCCCGCAATGGGTCTTCTCATTCTTGGGGCTTGGTGAGTCCCCACGGCCAGAGGATCCGGGTGGGCTCCCGCGCCGGCGCTTTGTGTCCCCAATACCCCAAGGGAGGAACTGTAGGGGTCGTTTTTCTCCCCCACCTTTCGTCCAGTCTGGGGAGCAGGTGGGTTGGAAGGGCCTGAGGGTAGAACTCGGGAAGGGGCGCAGAGGGGGCGCTCCGGCTTCCACACCTGCGTCTGCATCCCAGCCACCCCCGCCCCTCCCTCTTCCAGCCCAGGCGTGCCTGGCAGCCTTGCTCCTTGCATGCCTAAGCCGGGCCTGGGTCCTGTGGCCCTCTGCCTGGTCTGGCTCTACCGAGACAGAAACACACCCAGGGCGGGAGGCCGCCGCTCCGCCTGGGTCCGAAACCGGGCGGTCTGGCGACATTTCTGCGACTACTTCCCCGTCTCGGTGAGGACACCAGGCAAGGGGGCCTCGGTGGGGCCGGCGCCCTGGAGCCCGACCTCACCGGCGGGGTGGGGCGCCCCTCGGCTCCCCAGCTGGTTAAAGCCGCAGAGCTGGACCGCTCCCGGGGTCCGGGCCGTCGGGGCCTTCGCCAACTTCTGCACGGAGGCCACCGGCTTCTCGCGCCTCTTCCCAGGCCTGCGGCCTCACCTGCTCGTGCTGCCCTGTGGGTTCCACCTCCCGCTCTACCGAGACCACATCACGTCCGGGGGTG